TTGGGCTGTGAAGGGGCGCCTATGTAGTAACTAGCTGTAGGGCCCAAGTAGATAACTATATAGGTGCATGGATTTGTAGGGTTTGCAGCCGAAATCTCACATGATCAGTCCCCCCCTTCTCGGGGCCTAAAATCCGAAATCATCCTTGCAAGCTTTTACCCCACCTTGAAGAGGTATTGGTCATCAGCCGGCTCATCTGGAGTCCTTGGTTTAGGGTTACGGTTTAGGGTTTAGGTTTAGTTACATGGTCCCTTGATATGGGCCCTCAAAAACATGAACCCCTTATACACCCCCTTATATACCCTGCACAACCCAAGGGCCCATACATCAGAACCCTTTCAGGACGGTAAGCGACCATAGAATTTCTAATCCAGGGCCGGGGTTTAGGGGCTTAGGGTTTAGGTTTTTAGGGGCTAGGGGTCTAGGGGTTTAGGGGTTTAGGAGTGAGGGTTTAGGGGCTTAGGGGTTTAGGGTTTTTGCATGGTCCCTTCACAGTTGGGGGCTTCGGGGAAACCTTGGACCCCAATCCTCAAACCCCTCAAGTACTTGTAACTTGTAACCGTGGTCGGGTCTGAGGGCTTAGAGGGTGTAGGGGTGACGCTATGTATCCTGCGGTATTGTCAAGTCACACGTGGGCCCCCCCACAATCAGGCAGTGATTGCGTTCAATTCGGCAATAAGGAGCCCCTAAAGAAGACCTGCAGATGGATGTAGATAAGGGTTACCAGCAAGCAACCAACACAAGTCCAAAAATCTCAGGGTGCTGCTTAACGTCAGAAGTGGGAGAATCCTTAGAAGTTCTTAAATCCTATACGCTAAACGTCCGTACATCCTAAACCCAAGACCCTGTACCCTGACCCTAGACCCTAAACCCTGATCCCAAACCCCAAACCCCAAACCCCAAACCCCTAACCCTAAACCCTAAACCCTTAACGCCCCAAACCCTAAACCCTACCTCTTTCTAGAGACTTGCAGAGCCAACATGTTGAAATCGAGCGCAGGGGCCTCAAGTAGTTGTAGCCGTCGAGTCCGCATGGCAGGCCGGTCTCCACATCCTGTGCCCCCGCAAAACTCTTCGAGGGGTACCTGAACGCCTAGGAGGGTGTAACCCTAAACCCTAAAACCCTAAACCCTGAACCCTGAACCCTAAACCCTGAACCTCCAGCAGGGTTTAGGGTGCAGAGTTTAGGTGGAGTCATGGTTGAGGCTTCCGGGGGCATTGAGGGAGGGCATGAACTGCGGAGGGGAAGGACCGTGGCCACTTTGGTCGATGAGGATGGCTACGGCTATAGCTACTTAACTACCCATGAACACCCTAAATAGAACCGAATCCCCTTAAACCCCTTAAAGGGACCCCCCCAAGAAAGGGTATCCCGAAACCTCTATTCAGCCCAGCCCATTTTTTTGGGGGTTTAGGGTTTAGGGTTTAGGGTTTAGGGTTTAGGGTTTAGGGTTTAGGGTTTAGGGTTTAGGGTTTAGGGTTTTAGGGTTCAGGGGCTGGTTACGCTTCAGCTTCGAAGGCAACCCCAGAACCCCAACCGGGCAAAAGCATACTGCCGGGCTACCAAGGAGCTCAGGATATGTCGGGAAACCCTAAACCCTAAACCCTAAACCCTAAACCCTAAACCCTAAACCCTAAACCCTCCAACAGAACCCAAGGCCCGCCTTTCGGGGGGGGAAATGTGGCTCACACTTCTGCGCCCAGAAACCCAACCCTAACATGCAAGAAACCGCAGATAGTACTAAACCCTAAACCCTAAACCCTAAACCCTAAACCCTAAACCCTAAACCCTAAACCCTATTAACCCTATAGACCGTACATTAAACCCTTTAAACCTTGCAAACCCTCTAAGCCTTATAAACCCAAAAAGCCTTATGTAAACCTTAAAAAACCTAAACCCTAAACCCTATAGGCCCGAAACCACGAAACCTTCCGAGTTCCTCCCCGGGGGTCTGCATGATCGGTGCTCACAGCATGGAACAGGGGACTGACCCTAAACCCTAAACCCTAAACCCTAAGCCCTAAACCCTAAACCCTAAACCCTAACCCCTAACCCCTAACCCCAAACCCTACACTAAACCCGCCTGAAAGTAGTAGTTCATGTGGGTGGGGAAGATGCCCTGGATGCCTCGGCGATCTTCGGAAGCTTTCGGGCCGCCAGGGCTGAGGGTTTAGGGAGAAGTTCACGTTGCTGGTTTGGGGTTTAGGGTTTAGGGTTTAGGAAATTGCTTAAGAACCCCCCCAAAATAGAACAATCATCCTCCTTATAAGGGCCATATAGGGATTCTTATTTTGGATTTTTGGGGGGTTCTTAAGCCAATAGTACTTTGCAGGCTTGATCTCGGCTGCCGCGAAAGTTGCCCCACTTGTGGCACGCACGACCGAGAATCACCTCCTTGCCCTCGTAGATGAGGTTGCCCGTGGCGTTGCTCATCCATCGAGGCCCGACGGGCCCTTGAGACGCAGATGAATGCGAAGCACAAGGGTTTAGGTGCAGGGTGGGATGCTGACAGTACGCCCTAACGAGTCCGGACCGCCAAAAGAAAAAGGAAAACATGGCCCTTATTCGATTAAGCCTTATTCGGGCCTCGTTTGGGCAGGGGGTTAGGACTCCATCCGAAGAATCCGAAACCAGTTGAAAGCGACCCAGGACCACGACGCATGCGGGTTTGCAGGATCACGAAGGGTTTAGGGTTCAGGGTTTAGGCCTTATAGGGTTTAGGATCTAGGATTTAGCACGAAGGGTGCCTCCGCACAGGTACGATCCCGTGGCATATGTGCAGCACTTGCAGCAGTCCTGAGCAGGACGAGAGAATCACATTTCAACCCTAAACCCTAAACCCTAAACCCTAAACCCTAGACCCTAAACCCTAAACCCTAAACCCACTCTTCATACAGATCAACGCGTCAGATCATAAGGCTCTCAACAGAACGTGGCAAAAAAAGTGCCTTCATCGCGAGACCTGCGTTGAGCCTTCTCTTCAGCCTTAGCCTACTAGGGTTTAGGGTTTAGGGTTTGGGGTTTAGGGTTTGGGGTTTAGGGTTTAGTACTATCTGCCCAAGAATACTAATCCCTCCATTGCCCTTATGAGGAAGAGTATGTCTATTCTTTTTTGGGGGGGTTCTCAAGCAATCATAAAACTAAAATCCTGCTTCCATGAACAAGTGGCTGGCAGGTTCGGGAAGTAGAGGTACCGGAAGCCTCCCGTTGTCCTCATGCGCCAGCTCGGCTTACCACCAACCCAGACAAGAAGTTTCGGGTTTAGGGTTTAGAGGAGATCTGGCGGCAATGTGGTCGGCACAGGGTTTTCCGACATGCAAATCAGTGGGTATGCGCCTTAGCGCAGTTGTCATGCTCCTCATGCCATCCCATACCATACTCTTGTCACAGACTACCTGCTCTCTTACATGGTCAGTGCTGTTCATGTGTGCACAGACAGTCTCCCGAAAGCATAGCTACCGTGCTCGCAGCAGTACTTCTGGTACTGATGTTTTGGGCATGTCCAATAGCTTTCGGGGTAAGGATGAGCCAAGTCCCTGAGTTTTTGTTTACCCTGTTTTGGGGTTTAGGGTTTACCCTAAACCCTAAACCCTAAACCCTAAACCCTAAACCCTAAACCCTAAAGGGTTTAGGGTTTCCAAGTCCAAGGAATGATCCTAGTTTGGGGGTGTAGGGTCTCTAAGCCCTGAGAACCCTAAATCCTATGTTGGGAAGTGCCCTCGAACTTCAAGGCCCGGCCTCTCCACAGCCTCCCAACACCCAGGTTTAGGGTTTAGGGTTAAGGGTTTAGGGTTTAGGGATAAGGGTTTAGGGCTTAGGGCTTAGGGTTCAGGGTTTAGTGCTTAGCGTTTAGTGTTTAGGGTGTGGGTTTAGGGCTCCGCCGAGGATCAGCTGTTCACAGGGCGTCTTGGTGTGGTAGTACGAGCACAAGTGATCTGCGGCAGAGAGGGGGGTTGTGGGACTCAGGTTTAGGGTTTGTTTCAACTTTTTTGTTTGGCTTTAGGTCCAGGGTATAGGGTTTAGGGTTTAGGGTTTAGAGACTCACTACTTTAAGCCCCTAACATTCCCTCAAGCCCCACAATCCACAAACCAAACAGCCAAAGTCTCACCCCTGCGCCATCGCGCAGCAAACTCGGTCCAATACAAGGGTCTAAACAAATACCAACAAACACTATTGCTTGAAATGTTCCCCCTCGTACTACGTAGCATTCCTTCATAGAGAATATAAAGGGGGGGAGGGCGGGCCTACACTGCCATTACTGCCATTATTTGCTTGAGAATCTCTCCCCAAAAAAACCAACAATACTCCCTATACTGCCCTTATAAGGAAGACTATATTGAATTGCTGGGAGGTTCTCAAGCAACCTAAAACCCTAAACCCTACACCTCTGGGCTCACTAAGGCGGAGCCTCCGCTACCATCTTCGAAAGTGATGCGCGACGCCCCAACGCCGGGGCTTGTGTCGCTGGCGTAGTAGCCTGGGGCGTTCTGGAGGTTCAGGGCTCAGGGGGGGGGGGGGTTTAGGGTTTAGGGTTTAGGGTTTAGGGTTTAGGGTTTGGGGTTTGGGGTTTGGGGTTTGGGGTTTGGGGTTTGGGGTTTGGGGTTTGGGGTTTGGGGTTTGGGGTTTGGGGTTTGGGGTTTAGGGTTGAGATTGCTAGGGCTGATGGGGCCGCAGGTTTTTTGGGACAAGGTGCCTGTGGTGTGCTTGTCGTCGGAGACGTAGTCCGCTACAAAGGTACTCGGCCAATGAGGTTGTGGTAGCGTACCTCCTCCAAAAACCCAGAACCCTAAGCCCTAGACCCTAGACCCCGAACCCTAAACCCGGAACCCCAAAACCTAAACGCTGGCTATAGGGTTATAAGGAGATGATAGGATTTTGGGTTTTTTGGGTTTAGGGCTGGGGAACCCGGTAATTAACCAGACTATAAGGGAACCAATTTGGTACATCTCCCAGGGCACTGGCGCCCTGAAGCAGCAGCAACGCGAGGGAAGATATCATCGCAATCTTCGGATTTAGTGCTTATAGTGTTGCTGCTCTGGCTTCTGAAAGGAGCTGTCGATCTCTGTCTCTGTCAATCAAGTAAGCTGCGGCCGACACGCATATATCGAAAGCTGCAACAGTTCACTCGACGGCAATGCAAGCGCCAACAACGTATGCAGCTCTCCTTTGTTCTGGCACGGGCATCTTGCATCGAGGTGGGAGCCTGTGATATTGGGACTTCAGGCAACGCCTATACAGCTGTCATGGGGTAGGCACGTGCTCAAATCTCCGTCCCTGCGTCTAACATGTTGATGCGGCTTTTGCAGGATCGGGTGGGCACGTGCCCACATCTCCCCAGCCCATCCTGAGGCCAGCGAAAGGCTCTCTACTCTATATACAACGCCCTTGCAGCGCTGCTGCATTTCAGCAAAAGGCCCCAGCGAGAAATGCAGCATGACCTGCTTGCTCTCAATGGCATGGGCTTCGAGGCAGGGCCGATACTTAGCTGCTGAGTTCACAAGCCCCAAAAAAATGCACCCTTTTTGCTTCCAGAGGGGATTACAGTCTCCAAGTGTAAAGTATACTCCTCCAGCTACTATGCAGGGATACAGAGGCCAAAGGAGCTCCCGAATTCAATCTCTTAGTAGCCCAGTAACCATATGACAATAAGGGCACCCTTTTCTTGGGTTGGCTATTTTTATAAGGGAACCCAGAACCCTAAACCCGGTACCACTGGGCCACCAAGAATCTCGGGCCGCGGCCCGAAGGTTGCTCCAGCCCGGGGTCTACGTGTCTACGGGCTAGGCAACTGCAGCTCGGCTCTTGAAGTCCAAAGGAACCCTGAAATATTGGGATCCTGAATACGATTCAAGGACCTAAGAATATCGATGGTTATATGCAATAGACCCTTTCCTAGTCTTAAAACCCTCTGAAACATATTCCTGAGTTCGAAGATGATCCTCTTAAAGCCGATAAGGGAAAGACTAAACATCCCAAGTTTCAGGGTCCTTTCGGCTTCCAGGGTCAGCTCTCTTGGTAGCCCAGTAACCATCTTAAAATAATAAGGGCACCCTTTTTTGGGTTGGTTATTTATAAGGGAAACCAGAACCCCAAAAAAGGATAAAGGGCACCACTGACCCGCCACTAGCCCTAAACCCTAAACCCTAAACCGTAAACCCTGGGCACCACTGGGCTCCCAAGCTCTTGAAACTCACAGCATGCGCATCTCATCAGGATTGGGCACTGCGCACAGCGCGTTCCTGGCAAGAGCCGGTCTGCATGTCACAACTCGCGAGGGTTTAGGGTTTAGGGTTTAGGGTTGAGGGTTTAGGGTTTAGGGTTTAGGGTTTAGGGTTTAGGGTTTAGGGTTTAGGGTTTAGGGTTTAGGCGCTCAAGCCCGGTGTCATCGTCGCGCCGGCTCCTACAGATTCGTCTGCAAGGGCCTGAAAGGCCTTTCTTGGGCTTTGGGGCATGTTCCGCTGGGTCTGCTGGCAAAGTCGTCCAATTTTGCTCTACTCCATCGCGACACGGTCAGCCACTTGGCGGCGAGAACAGGTGTCTTAGGGTAGTTACATGCTCCCTTAATATGGCACCCTTATAATACCCCCATAAAACCCAAGGGCCCGTACTTCAGAACCCTAAACCCTAAACCCCAAACCCTAAGCAGTGAGGGACCATATTGAGGGACCATGTAACTCCCTTACAATCTGCCTGAGACACCCCGCACTATGTGCGACAGGGTCTTCAAGCTGATGCCCAAATAGAACCCAGGTAGCCTCCCCATACAGGGTTTAGGGTTTAGGGTTTAGGGTTTAGGGTTCGAGGCAAACTAGGCTAGGCGCTGCCTTCCTTGCGTAGGAGAGATGTTGGGCTCCCTGGGAGGAAAGCAGCAACGGCTACCAGAACCCTACTAAACGCAACTGCTTCCTTTGTTGGGGTTATTCTAAAAAAGCAACTGCTTCCTTGTTGGGTCATACTAAAGAATGACTAGTTATCTGCCTTATTGGGGAATTTAAGAAGATAAAAATGTAACATTATCACCAACAAGGATCCATGCAAGAGAACATCAACGGGAGGCTTGGCCTCGAGTTCGTGTTCCGCGCGAAATCACAGCATGCTCGGCGCTTTTCTTGGTCTACATGGGGGTTTCCGAAATTCTAGGGTTTAGGGTTTAGGGCTTAGGGTTTAGGGGTATCTTATTGGGGTCCTTGTTATAAGCGTACCCTACTCTTTGGGGGTTTATGTTAGGGGTCCCTTGTTGTCGTAAACCCCCCCCCCCCCCCATAGGAACGTTTAGGGCTTAGGGTGCCGTGGGACTTGGGTCCCTTAGAAGCCTTGGCTGAGGAGAATCGGAAGAGAAACAAGGGAACAGCTCTCCCGGCGCCTGCTGTGTAATGGTACCCAGGAAAACTGAACCTTCGGCTAATCGCATTTAGCTGCCGTGCCAGAGTAGACGATTAGATAAAACTCCAGCGCCCTACCACCCTGCTTTGATATGAACTCGAACCATACCATAGCAATCAACCCGATTTCAGCACGGTTACTGTCAGGGGACATCCTGACCTCAACCCTCAACTCTGCTCCACGGCACTCTCCAGCTTTCTCTGCAGAAGCCATCGCCTGCAACTTGGAGGTTTACCGGCTTGGGGCTTTAGGATTTAAGGCCAGGGGTTGAGGTATTTTAGAGTTGATTGTCCACGGAACCTCTCTTAGCGATTCCTACGCAGAGTGAAGTAACCATCGTACAGGAGATGTTCGTCCTAAACCCTACAACCCTAAACCCTATATACCCTAAACCCTAAACCCTACACCCTAAACCCCACGCACACCCCATGACAATGCAGGGGCCATGGGCAGAGTTTTGGGTACGGGCAGGGCTCCTGAGCCCCAAGGAAGCCCACCAGCCCCAAGCACCCAAAACCCGAGCCCCTAAACCCTAAACCCTAAACCCATAAACCTCCTCAGGCCTGTGCAGCTCAGGCCTGCTTAGGGTTTAGGGTTTATGGGGTTTGGGGCTGAGGGTTTTTTTAGGGTTTACAGGGTTTATAGGGTTTGCAGAGTTTGTAGAGTTTGTAGGGTTTGTAGGGTTTGTAGGGTTTGTAGGGTTCTGGGGTTTATGGGGTCGTAGGGTTTTGTAGGCTTATGGGGGTTTATAGGGCTTATTGGGTTTAGGGTTTGGGGTTAGGGCTTAGGGTTTCGGGTTTAGGGCTCCTTATTGAGAAGGGAATTCATTATTAGACGGTCTGTATATATATATAATATGTATAATATATATATATATATCAGGGTCCACTATTTGCGTAAACCCTCATGTATCCTCAGCCGCTGCTCACCACCCAGCCTCTGTGTGGGCTATGACGTCGCAGGGCGCTTGGAGACGGCCTTTGCTCCTTGCAACCCTCATTAAACTCTCTGAGGTTTAGGGTTTCGGGTTTAGGGTTTAGGGACTCTAAACCCCAAAACCTAAAAGCCTCAACCCCCAAACCTACAGATCCATACCCAAAAAAAACCCTACACCCCAAAACCTGGGAACCCCAAACCTAAAAACCCTAAGCCCTACAACCTTTACAGCCAAATCCCCAAAATCTTGGAACTCCAAACCTAAAAACCCCAAACCCCAAAACCCATAAACCCTAACCAAAAAAAAACCTAAGCCCTAAAACCAAAAGACCCTAAACCCCAAACTTTTTAAACCCCAAACCATAAACCCTAGCCTCCAGGTGTCGTTCCTCAACTGTGGCTTGAGCGTGAAGGTTTGGGATTGCTAGGACGTTCGGGACTCTATAAACCCGAAACCCAAACCCAAAACCCAAACCCAAACCCAAACCCCAAACCCGAAGCCCCAAACCCTAAACCCCCACCCCCCCCGAACCCCAGAGCCGAAACCCGAAACCTCCACAGCTTGTGGTTTGTCGGCTTTCTTTGGGCCACTGCTTGGGGTTTAGGATTTAGGGTGTAGGGTCCTTAGTAGGGAGGAGAGTACCTCCTGTTATCATCCCCATAAAGGACTGCTAGTACAAGGCAAAAACCCCAAAACCCGAAACCCCCCAACTCTAAACCATGAACCCTAAACCCTGAACACCAAACCCTAAACAACGAACCCTAAACCTTAAACTCTAAACCCAAAAACCCAAACCCTAAACACCAAATCCTAACCCCCACTCCCAAGCGAGCCCCGAGCCTGAGACGCCTCGGGAGGCGTGGCAGAACGGCCTGCATCCATGTGCCCATGGGCTTGGGGGCTGCTACTACAACCTGAACCCTCGACCCCAAACCCCAAAGCCCAAACCCCAAGCCCTAAACCCCAAACCCTAAAGCCCAAACCCCAAACCCCAAACCCCAAACCCCAAGCCCCAAGCCCCAAGCCCCAAACCCCAAACCCTAAACCCTAAACCCCAAACCCCAAACCCCAAACCAATGTTGACACCGAGAGCTCCTTCTGCCTGGCAATCTAGGCTTGTAACTGTTGCACCTGGGGAAGATCCAGGCAAATCATATCATGAAGGTTCAGGGTTTAGGGTTTAGGGTTTAGGGTTTGGGGTTTAGGGTTTAGGGTTCCCTAAACTATACGAATATGCGCTGCTGGAGACCCCAGAAAGGACTGCGTCCAGCCTTTCGCCTCGCTGGTGTGGCTGCGTTCTGGCGCGGGGGGGGGGGGGGGGGGGGGGGTGCTGAATCCACTCGGTGGGTTTAGGGTGTAGGGTTTGGGGTTTGAGGTGTAGGGTTTGGGGTTTGGGGTTTAGGGTTTAGGGTGGGGTGTTTATACCCTACACTGCCCGATGCTCCCTCAGAAAGGCCGCCGACACACACAAGCCCTGAAACCGACACAGGGCTTGATTGTTGAGGTTTACGATCGTACCTTTCAACCGTCCCCAACATGCTCACTTCTCTAGAATATGGTCTCGTTTGGGATCCGTGTTTTAAGGCGGCCCCCAGTATTTAGGATACCCAAACAGGTAAGCCAAGGCGTACGCGCGGCATACGCTCCGTCTTGGGCACTGCGCTTTGGGCGCCGTTGG